ATTTCTGCGTAGATTGGCTTTGTTGTAGGTATTGTTCCGCTAACTGAATCTTCCTTTAGCGAAACATCGTTTTTTTAAATAAACCGACAGAGCAACAAATTTTTTTCTTTGGCAACTTTTTAGCAACAAATGAGCAACAAATAAAAATGTTAGTTAGAATCGATTCCGCTCATTTTGTTCCGCTAACTTATAAGACGTAAAATAACGACTGTCTTTGAATACGCATGTAAGTCCTTGTGACTTTATTATATAAGCACACGCAAATAAACGTTTCTCCAGCACCCACATAATTCGCGCTGTCGAAAATTACTTATGTAATTTCACGATTTTGTAAAATAAAATAAAGAAATTATAGAAAAATTGCACTCATAATGATCGGCTATTAAATATATCCTGTTTTAATTGCTCATTTAATTTACTTTGATATTCTTCCTATTTTTCTTCTTATTTTGATGCTTGGTTGAAGAGACTATTTAATTTTCTAAGAACACGTCTGAATAAAACAGTTTAACAATTTTTCAAGTACGCATGTTACATAAATCATGTTTCTCTTTTTTCCTTTTCTCTCTTTTTCTCTCTCTGTCTCCATTAAATTTTCGCAAAGAACATTACCAAGTTCTCTAAAGGCTGGTATTTACCGTTATGTGCACACTTGCATTACCTTTGCACAAAGAACTGATAATGTTATAGGGTTTAAATTCGCGAATCGTAACGCACTCATCTCTGTGTCCAAATCACTCGTAGACAAACTCTAAACAGCAATTTAAACACTTAAAACATGAGGCAAATTAGACTCTTACGATAAATGTACCACCTCCCTAAACTGATCGAAGTACTCTCCAAGGCATTGAATCCGACAGTCCTGATACACATTAGATATCTCGAGTCGCCTCTGATTCAATTTAAGAGTTTATTTAAATCATCGCCGCTACAGACGGTTTCGAATGGCGAGTTTATTTTATTAACCAACTCTTCGCGATCGTGAGAAAAAAATCTAACCGCGTATTGCCAAACGCGATTTCGACTTCGATTTTCTGCCGCAATGCGTTATGGATAAGATCTGCGACAGACGTCGTCGCGCGTGAAGATTTGCAACACGGTTGTCATGAGAAAGTCAACATTGTCGTTTCTGCGAGAGACGTCACGTCCCCTTATTATAACAAAGAAGCGTTAATTTCTCGTAGTATACAGCGTTTGCGACACACCGTTTATGACGTGTTGCGAACGTCCACTTTTCTCTCTTCGATTTGTCCGAGTTGGAACATTAACTGCGGCTGAAAGATTTCCATGGATAAAGCGAAAGTCGAAGTACTCGTAGAAGCGGAAAGCCAGAAACATCGCGTGAAATAAGAGACGAAGTATCGCGTGCTCGAGGGGATTCCGATTACTTCGTACTGGATCGAAAGAAACGTTACATTATCCATGAAGCACCCTCGTCTCTTGTCTGCTTCCTTCATTATTACGATATGAAAAAGCAACTGGCATTCTCGAGCTACCCGCAAGTAGCATATCCCACTTACTTGACACACATTACGTTTTTATCTAACGTTGTCTACCTCCGCGAAATTACATGGCGTCGACGTCGCCGTGTAATTTTTTTCAAGGAGAGGTGCAAGGTCGAGATACGTTCATTTTATGAGATGCCGATGACCGCTCGGTTTTCTATACTTGTGCACCATCGTCGGTGAGACGTTCGTGTGAGAAGAGTCTTGTTTTTTTTTTTTTTTTCAAATTTTACTTATATTTGCTGAAACTTGAAATATGAATCCACTCTCACACTTTGTGTTAAATTTCTGACCTGGCGCCAGATGACACGGTTATTTTTCGTGAATATCTAATTTTGTGAACGCGAGCGAATACACGTTACAACCTTGACATATAGAATGTCAGTCAATAACTTCTAAAAAATTCCACAAGATTTTGCAAGTTAATAAAGCGAAGGATGATTCATCTGAGTCGCCATACACGACGGTCTTTCTTTCCATTAACCGAGCATCCAGTTCTGAGTAATGATGATCTTTCAAAGCTAAAAAAAATTCTGGTTAAAAATGAACGAACCCGAAGGCTCTAAATGCCTCACTGTCTGGTTAACTTAAATGCATATATTTCCCAACGAAAGAGATGAAGACGAACTAAATTACTTTAGTCAAATTTTTTTCTTTGTATAGAAGAATTAAAACGCCTGTTGCCGGCGGAGGGTTAATTTTCTATCATGTTTATTAGGATTTAATGAATGTTTGCCGTGCGAACGGATCGTTCGTAGCCGTCGGATGCATCTTTGCAAATAAACACTGTCGATGTGGAAACGTCGTCGAGTCGTTTCGCGTGTAAAACACGTCGGGCAATTCGACGGAGCGCCGCACCTGACGTTACAACGACTTCGACTCGATACGGTTCGTTAAGTCGATGTCGCGGTGCTGGAGAGCATTACACCGAGATGCAACGAGATTATTGCACGCAGTAAGAGCGACGTTATATGTCGCGCGAGAGGAAGCGAGGAATCATCCCGCGGCTTCGCTAGCCGCTCAAGTGTAATCGGACGACCGTAAAACCGTAAGAAAGATACCACGGCGAATGAAATCGTAATCACCGTCCGTCCAGCCCTCGAACATGAGTTTGCACCTCGGATCTTCCGAGCAAACAACTATCGCGATAATAAATTTCCCTCCGCGTCCTCCTCTCACATCCTGCCATTATCAATTACACGTTCTGACGAACGTTGCTACGATACTAATTTATTTAGTGTTAAATTGTGAATGACGTTGCTAAATAAAGCGGCGTTACGTGCGCATATGTTAAAAAGGTTTTAATCTCGATGTCTAATAGCGAATTCGGTCACTTAAATTAATGCACTAGTAACTAATACAAAAAATTGTTATATATGAAATTAGTAAAGTTAAATATATGAATATTATAAACGATATATTATTATCTATTATTATCCCAGAGGCGAAAAATGCAAATCTTCAACGTTCACTTTAAAATTAAATTCGGGATAAAATTAATTTCGGAATAAATCCGGGAACTGCAAATTAGTTATACTTAAGAATTATAGATAAAAATATATGTAACATTAAACACTGAAATATAATACTTCTATTAGTCAGAAAGGCTATACATCATATATCGATATCGAAATACCCAACAATAACTGTCATGTTATTTAACAGAATCTACATGCATTATTTCATTGTCAAAATAATTAATTATACGATGCCATTTCATTTAGATATTGTATATAAAGAAGTTATTGACATGTATTAATTAAATTAATGCACTACAGTGACCGAATTCATCATAAGACAAGTTAGCGTGAAATATTTCGCGCTGGTCCTCCTCCGGATAGCTTGCATATTTATTTATTATTAATCGAGTTGAGTTATAGAAACATTCCGGTGCTTATTGTCCGCGTTCGTTCGTTAATCAATAGTTGACCAACAATAAACAGATGCAGTTAATTGAAATGTGATGGCATATGTCGCATACACGAAGCCGCGTTTCGATCGAAGCCACGAGCTTACAATTAATTATTGAAGCGGAGCGCGATTCAAGCAGGTAAACGAGTTTCACGATCTGGGACCGTATTCTCAAAAAATATCGCATATGAAAATGTATGAAAACGCTACATACATTGCAGATTTCCCTAGTGTTTTCGCAAGCAATATTTATCGAGAATAATATAAGGCCCCGGAATCGGAATAACAAAATGCGGAACGTTCACGTTATATTTTTGTAAATACACTGAAAAAAATATTGAACTTTAATAAATATTTGTTTGAATAGTTCTAAGTAAATATTACTAAATGTACTTTAAATTCTTTAAAGTGGAATCTCATTCTAAAGAGTGAAAATTGAATCTTGAAAAAGAGTGGCTCAATTTTCAATTTTTAAGAGTGAGATTTCATTCTCTAGAGTAACGATTCACTTTAAATGTTTTAGAGAATAAACATCTCGTATTTAATTGTTACAAAAACCATTAATTTTATTTAACTATCATTTTCTTATTGAGTAAATATTTATTTACTGTGTAAGTATATAAAATGTTTACTTAGTATTATACTACTCAAAGAAGAAAGAAATATAGGGAAGAGTGGTCTAAATCGGACCGTGTTCCAAATAGGACCTTTTTAATTTAAATGAATACGGTTAAGCAGATTTGCGTACTATTTATAATGTAAAGTCCTTATAAGTCACCGAACATGCGATAGCAGTTTGACAGTTTTCTGTCATAACATTCATAAAATAGAGGCAAATATGTATTTTCAGTCATTGCGTGCGAAAATTTTTTTAAAAAAGAAAATCCTTGTAAATCATTATTTAAAAGGTGTTAAAAATTTGAAAAGTAATTGATTTAAGATAATTAAAGAGTGTAGAATTAAAAAATATCAAGCATTTCGTGATCACTTTTATTATAAAATTTGTTCGAAAGGATCCGTGTCCAAATCGGACAGTTCAGTGAATAACTTATAAGCCTGGTTGTAGTACTGGTGATTGGCTGACCAGATCTGGTCCAAGCAATTAAATCAGTAAATTATCATGAGTCATCAGACTCAGATTAGTTGAGTTTTATTGATTTCAATTCTAATAATATAAACAGTCAGTAATTTCTTTTTCCGAAAAAATTTTTATCTTTGACTGTCAAATCGCTCGTTTTTACTCAATACTAAGAGAAATACATTAAAATATTTTAAAATTTTATCTAAAAATCCATAAAAATAAGAGTTTTCGATCTGAATTAGGGAATGGTTCGATTTGGAACCGATGGTTTTACATTTTCCATTATAGTTTAACACAGATGAGAGATACGTCAAAATAATTTAAAGCAAAAATGAAGGGAATTAAATGATCTTTCCAACGGCAGCTTCGATCGGACTTTATTTACGCCTTATAGAGAGCAGAAACTGCAAATAGATCCGATTTAGACCACTCTCCCCTATATATTAAGGTTTAGTAAATTTTTTTCAGTTTACATCGCGCATTGTCTGCAAGTTTTTCGATACCTGACGCGATGCCGACGCTGGCTACAGTAGAAGTACTGACGGCAGATCGTTGGATTGTGGTTCATCGTATGTCACGTTAACGTTACTGTACGTTAACGTCGTCCTCTACAGTCATCCGCCAAAATCGATCCTCCTAATCTTGCTTCCCTCGTTCTTATCTCTTTTCTTTACGATGCAAAACAAGGAGATGTAACTTTCTCGAGCTGAGTTCGTTCTTCTCCTTTCCTTCACTCGCGGATCGTACAACCTTTACGTGAAATAACTCTGATTTCCGAAGTACCGCAAGCCACCGGTCGATTAATTTCAAATAACAAGTTCCGCCTCTCTCTCTCTCTTGAAATAAAAGATCATTAATTAATCTCGCTGCTCCTTCTCGAACGGTTTACTATACGAACAACAGATTTCTTCGTTCCTCAAACGTGGTCGAAACATATACGATTATTGCAAATCTTCAACATGCTCTTAAATCTCAAACGATAGGATTCATCCTTGGAATAACAGCGTGTTAATTCTCTCTCATTCCTTTTCGAATGTTTCGGTCCAGGAGGTCACTGAATAAAGGCTCTCCCTATTCCTCTCTCTCTCTCATGGCGTATTCTTCTCGTTTTGCACGTCGCTTTCCCGTCGCCTTCATTATGAAGGGAATTGTAATGTTCGAGGAAAACCGCGCGCAAAATATACACTCTATGGCCATCGGCTCAAGGTTCCACGACGGCTGCTTTAACGAGCCACGAAACAATCGAATTTCGAAACGGTCCGTTTCCGCGGCGTCGGTTCTCTTCTTCACCGCTACCCTCTTATTCGGTAGCGTGTCCGAAGCGTGAAGTCACGCGCCTAGTTCTTTATTTCGCTCACGCACCCACCTCCTCGCTTCTTTCTTTTCCCGCGTGACACACAATCGTGTCGTACACCCGCGACCCGTTATTTTTCACGTCGTGCCTTTGCCGCGACGAACAATGCCGAGGATTACTTAATCCCGGTTTAGCGATTTGCTGTTTTTCTCGAGAGAGACGACGGTCTTAAACCGTAATCGCAGATGATTATCGCGCGAGCTCACCTCTTGACACGCGGAGACTTGCCCTTCTGCACCTTTCAAACGTTCACGATTCGTCGAAGATAGTTTTTAGTTTCCCTCTCATTTTACACATCTGACGGTATCTTAAATAAGGAGCCTCAAATTTCGAGTTTTCAAAAAAAAAATTCTTTTCTTTTCCACCCAATCAGTTCACCAAGTAATTTTGATGTTGATTTCGTTACTCCAAAGTTAAATCAAGATAAAATAAAATTAAGGTAAAACTCCAATGTTCATAGACACGTGAATACATTAAATAAAATTAATGTCATTCTTGTATTGCTGGAGACTAACATCTCACCAAAGGTCGTCTTGCCAAAACCTGAGGGCAAGAAATTGTCCCTATCTGTCGCTTTGAAGAAACCCGGTAGATTTTCCGGACGTTCGCTACAATCTTTCTTCGTTTTTTTCTTCTTCTCTTCCTAACACTTCTCTTTCTAACACATGAGCAACTTACGACAAGTATCGGGTTGCTTTTACTTATAGTCCGGAAAAGTTTCGATCCTCTCGATCTTCCGGCTTCGCCACTCGTGGTCACTTCGCGAGTTTACTTGCGACGCAAACTTTGCCGGTTAATCGATACGCGGATGTACTATACACACCGCAATGCGGTCACGTCGGACACGTCGAATTGCAAAATCATCTACAAAGTGGAGAACAGGAGACTCGGAGCTGCGAAAACTCGCCTCGGCGAGAGAATCCGATCTGGCGTTTATTCGGCGAATATCTCTCGTCGAGAAACAAAGAGGCACGTCGAATCCAGTCGTACGTCATCGCCGATAAACGAAGTTCGCATGTACCGCTCGAAGTTGTAATCTGTGAACGTCAGCGAAGATACTTGACAATAATCCGAGAAACAGAGAGCTGCCATTTATTTCAGAAAAATAAGATTCCTGATGATGCGGACGAATCATCCGCATCCTCATCGCTTGGTGTATGACTAATTGTTTTTCTGTGATACAGCAAATTCACACGATTGTCAGAGATCTCTTTGCATATTGACGGATTTTTTTCATCTGCGTAATTCGGGGAAAAAACGTTTTCCCCGAATCGTTTTTTCTTTCTTCGATTCAAAAGATTATTCTAAACAATTTACTTCACTATCCATTTACTTAATTATTTATTTCCACGTTATTTATTTCGTCTTTGTAAACGACGAAAGGTTTGAAAGCTAATCAATTACGCTTTATACATAATTCCTAGGTTGTACTTATCCCCAATGATGTTCCCGCGTTGGCGACGAGCACTTAACTGACGCTCTTGCGCGACAGTATTGCGATCATTCCGATCGAAGCGCAGTCGCGCAGGTGCATTTTACCCTTCCAAGTCGTGTAGCTTGTGTGTGTTTAAGTCCACGCTCTTCTTCCCCCCTCAAAGGAAAGACGGCTCCTTAATAATTAGGTATTGGCAAGACACGACGATTCCCGTCTGTTTCTCGCATCGCGAGCGGCGAGAACACGATGGATTTTAGCGAGTGTACTGCAAATTCACAGGAATCATCTTAATCGAACGTTTATCAAAATTACTTTTCACTGTCATCTTCTTTCAGAGGAGAATGAGAGCAAGAGATTAATCACTGAGTCTACCCCCAAGCGAGGGGACGAAACGCTTTCATCATCGGTACCTCGACAGTTCCAGTCTTCTCAATGAGAACTCACTTTGCAAGATCCAGGTTCATGTCCAGAAAAGTATCGCCACAATTGTCGTAAGTTTCGCACCGGTTCGCAGCAAGCGACAAACTGTCAACGAGCCGCTACGCGCGCGCGGCACCGCTTCACTGCGCGCACCGGAAAACGCGATGGGTCTTCGCCCGTCGCGGCTAACCACGTTACGTGCGCGAGCGAGGAAGCCTTGAAGATGTTCGTCCTCGGCGGAATAACGTGCAACTGCTGGAGGTTCAACGACGGAGGCCCGAACGGGCCGGCCGAACTCTCGCGAACTTACCGAATAACTGTATCCCGGACCCGGACAAATGTTTCGCATAATACAATACATACACACACGCATGTGTCTCGTATGATACATGCAGACTGTTTCGCATGATACATGTGCGTGTATACGACTCAAGGTAATCAATTCTTTACGAAGGCAAACAGGAACATTTCAAAAATTCAATATCAATTATCCTAATTAAATTTTTAGATAAATAGTTTTTAATAATGAAATACAGTATCATTATATTTGTAAATAATAACACTTAATGTATAACACATCACATCACATGAGATCATAACAAAAGTTACGTTAAGTTACGAGAGATCACATTTTATTTTTTAAAATTACACTTTTCTATTGAATGTATTTTATAAATAAAAAAATATCCGGGATTTTGAATAAAAAAATCATAAAGTTCTTCACACGTTAGTCGAAAATTATATTTCACACTTACACTGAGAGAAAACGAAATAGTTCCAGCAACTATAAATTTGGCAATTTTTGCAATTGAAGTACCTGTAACTAGTTTTACAAAATAATAGAAACTAAAGTAGTGCTGAATATTATAAAAATATAGTCACGGTAACAAATTGTATGCACTATTAATTGGTAGTGAAGTAGTGACTCAACTACATTGAGTAGTTACTTGGACTTCATGCAAATAGATATAACAATTACATTTTTCTAGTTTAGACAAAAATTTTTAAAGTATCGCTTAGTACGAGTAGTACGCGGTTTTGTCACCAGAGGGACGTAGCGGAGTTCAGTTTCTCCTAAGAAGGAAACCACTCAGCTTACAATAAAAGGCGCAGCGTTGGTTTCAAACTTGGAAGACAAAAATAAATAAGAAATACATACACAAATTTGTAACTATGTATTATAAAGCTTTAATAAGAACAATAAGTAAATTAAGTGAACTAAGAGATAGTAATATATTAACCATTTATAAATTGTTTATATGATTAATGTACTATATTTTCTTAGTTCACTTAATCTAGTATTCTTATTAGAATTTAATAATATGTATATAGTTGAGGCGCTATTTCACTACAAATTTATAGTTACTGATACGACTTTTTTCTCTGAGTGTATTTTTACAGTTTAAAAAAGAACAATTCATAATCACGTCCTTAATTTGAGACAAAATTTAGGACGTATTGTAAAGTAGGGCAAAGGTTCAAAATTTGGAACGGTCCCTTCTAGTTTTGAATGGTTAATTATCTTCCATGTACGAGCGAGAGCGGAAGCAATCGACCGGCACACGATTCGCAACAGGTATTAACGATGCGGTATATAATCACGAGTATTTGATTGCTTTGAGTCTTGCAAAAAAGACATTGAAAGGTTAATGACTTGGAAGATTGGTAATTAGCTGGTATCAAAGTGTTCTAACTCCCGTCGAGTCTACTCGCGTCTGCTTGTTCTAAAAGGTAAGCACCACGGGCAACGATAATATCGACACTTGGTGTCGTAACGAGTACTCAAATTAATTTTAATGTCACACTTAACGTCTCTCACTAGCAAATAAACGCATGCAAGTGTTAATACAGAGTCAAATAGAACCACATTACTTTTCTACTCAAAACGTACGCCAACCAATCGGGCAGTAGAAATCGATCCTTTTTACTTGACTTTTTGCGAAGAATCATTTTGTTACCAACTGTACCGTATTTCATTGGATATCCCCTGATAAATACGCATCTGACAGGTGCTTGACGGTTTAATAAATCGTCCTCTCTTGTGGTATAAATACAACTTTGATATTACTCATTCTAAGAGGTTTTATAAGCTATAGTAAAAATAAAAATGTATTTTAAAAATAAATGTAGCTAAACTGGCACGCGGAATTTTTTAATATAATTTATTAGCACATATGAATTATTCATAAAGAATATCATATAAAAAATATCAGAACATCTACATCTTTCTTGGACCTATGGGGACCGCATAAAACATTTAACAAAGTATATACAGAGTGACTCACATAAAGTATGACCAATAGCTCGAAAAATAGAAGATACAGAAAAATGTTTCAGATAAAAGTGAAAAAGTTTCGAAGAAAACGTATTTTGATAACGTGTTTTTTTCTAGATGGAGGCGTAACGCCTCCATCTTGACCCCTCAGGCATCAAAAAGATATAAAGATCACATCCATTTTTTTAATAGAATAATATAATTTTTTTACATAATTATTCTGCATATGAAAGTATTGGTTAAAAATATCAAAAAAACTAATAGCTTACAAAATATTTAACATTTCATGTCAATATATGCCAGAATAAAGTATAAAATATTTCATAAACTATTCTATCTATCTTATACTTTTACGCGATGCAGAATAATTTGAGGCATC